ATATTGAAGCCCGAATCAATTCCCGGTTTTGTTGTTTCGCCAGTGGACGTGCTCTGATCTCTTTTCTCCACCCTCCMCCTCCGTCCGCCATAGCCGATCCGCGTTTCGCAGCTCGATTACCTTTCGCCATAGCCACAATAGCGTTCATATAAAGCTGCTCGATCCCCTTCGCAAGTTGCAGTCGTCGCTGCGCATGGCGAACCCCGAATCAATACCTAGTTGCTACACTGAACACCGAATCAATTCCCGATTTTCGCTCACCTGTCCCTTGTGAGGTCGCCGACCTGATATCTACATATATATATATATATATATATATATATATATATATATATATATATATAAAGATATAGATACATATATGTATATATAGAGATATATTGCTATACTGAGCACCGAATCAATTTCCGATTTTCGCTCACCTGTCCCTTGTGAGGTCGCCAACCTGATATATATATATAAATATATATATATTTATATATATATATATATATATTTGACGATATATATATATATATAGATACATATATATATAGAGAGATATATTGCGAGTTTGTTCGTAGTTTGCGATGTACAATGTTCGAGGAGTGACAACTGCGAGGTTATTCGCAGTTTTCCCAAGGTTAGACATATATTTTATTAAAGGCAGTTCTTTATTTCCACAAATGTGAGTTAGTTCGGACTTTTTTAGCAACACTGCTTGAGTTGACAACCCAACCCATGCGGCTTTCAGGTCTTCAGTTCCACAATTCCGAGTTAGTTCGTACTTTCCCCTACTGCTGTGCATCGCGATTATTGTCTTGTTTACAGAACTGCGAGTTTCCACAATTTGGAGTCAAATCGTACTTTCCCGTTGTACTTCAGGTTGCAATTGTCGTCCTTGTCAGCAGAACTGTGAGTTAGTTCTCACTTGTCGATTTGCACTTGTCGATAAACCACATCTTACTCGTTTCGTGCATCTTTTAGGTCTTCAGTTCCACAATTTCGAGTTAGTTCGCACTTTTTCCTAGTGCAGCGGGTTGCTATTGTTGTCTTGTGTACAGAACTACGAGTTAGTTCTCACTTGTCGACACCCTTCGCACTTGTCGATAAACCACTTCTTGCTCGTTTCGAGGGCATCTAGTTGGGTCGCAATCTTTCCGAACAGTTATTGTCTTCCCTCTGAACTTCTGTCTTTCCTATCCTTCACCCAATTGTTGTGACTTCATGTGCATTTCGAACACCCATCTCTTACGTCCTTTTCGTCCTCTATTTCGTTAAGTCCGAGTTAGTTCGCACTTCGCTTCTGTAGTGGTCTGGGGTTGGGCGTATTAGTCATGCGAGTTGGTCTGAGGTTGGGCGTGCTAGTCAACGGGTGGGAATACAATGGCCTCCGCAAAGAACACATCCACAAGCGCTGGACAATCTGCCCCCGGGGAGGGACGACCTGTACAGCAACCTACTCCTCAGTATATGCACGCAAAGGGAGCACAATGGTTTTTGGACTTCGTTGTTCAAGGGGACCTTTTTGGGCCAGCTGTTTTCATGCGACCCACTTGCGTTACAGACGTTGGGGGAGCAGTCAACGTTGTTCCTCTCGGTACCGTCGTTTCGTGCGTGAAGACTCCTGGAGGTTTGCTCAAGCTGCACACTAACGGCATGTACGACGAGTGCAGACTGCCTATCAGAGGTGTTAAAGGTGTGCTGGTAACCATCAAGAGTTTCGCGGGGTACGACTCGAACATGCCGTTGTGCTCTCACTTCAAAGGCCTTTACAATGGCGGCAGCAAGAGTCCTCCATCGCCAGAGCAATATCTCGATCTCACGCGGATGGTGCCGAGAGAACGTCCGGTTCTTCCGCCAGAGCATGTTTTCCGGCTTCTGCCACCCCGTGAGGGGTCGTCCGACTTGGCTCAAGAAACTCCAAGTACGGCAGTGGGGCGCGGGAGTCCGATTCAAGACGCTGGGGGTTGGGTCAAGGGATGCAGTGTTCACACGCAGGTTGGCCCGGATGCTCCTAGGAACACGTCGGACTTGCATTCTCTGGGTACAGGGACCCAACGGGTCGGTACTCCGAAACTTATCAAAGTCCGCTGTGGCGCCAACACGTATTCGCTTCGAGATGAGACGAGAAGAGATTCAAGCAGATCGGGGCTAGACGTTGGCGGGAATGAGGTTGAAGGGATGGGCGTTGTCCGCGAAATCTCTGGTGGGAAGCAGACTCCTTCGGAGAAGAAGAGCGAGCGACAGAGGATGGTGCGAGAGGAGGTGGCGGAAGGAACCCTCCGCATGAAGAGGATGGGAGGAAAACTGGAGGCGGTGATGGGCTGGGATGGAGGTGGCGACGGAGAACATGCCTTGGGAAAGAGGCCGACGAAGGAAGAGGGTGGGACGGCAAGTAAGAAAGCGAGGAGGCCCGGCGGTTTGACCATCCGCGAAGGACAAGCCGCGGGTGGAGGAGATTCGGTTGATCCAGGCGCTGCGATCACGAGAGAACCTTCGGGGAAATCGAAACGGAAAGTGGCAGCTGAAGACGGCGATGGCGAGAAGAAAACTCGAAGGCGGAAGACTGCTGAGGCGGCGAGCGCTGGCGAAGGGCTTGTCAGTAAGGAGTACGACAAAGCGGCAGCGTTCTGGCTCGAATACGAGCGGAACGATGTCGGTGCAATCGTGGAGAAGGAGCTCCCTGTCCAACTGCTCATCGACCCCAAGAAGGTCTGCGAGATCCCGGCTTGGGAAAGATATTACAACCACCGCAGTCTGAGTCGCGAAACTGTGGACGACATCAAGGGTACAATGCTGAGTCAATTCCGCGAGAAAAAAGGGAAGATCTGGACGAAAAACCCTCTGGTTTTGGCACCCATCTACAAGCCGATGATGCGTAAGCTGGAGAGAGATGACAGGGTTCACAAAGATGTCTTCAAGCCAGAGGACAAGGACAAGTACTACTATTACTCTGTTGACGGATAACACACCGTGGCTGCTGTGAAGGAGTTGGAGGGTGAGCCAATATTCAATTTGTGGAAGATGCACTCGTGGCCGGCGAGAGTAGTGTGGTTCTCTGACCGAGATTTCGCGGGGTATACGCAGGTCAGTCTCAACGAGAACACGAGACACAAGATGTCTAAGTAGCGATCGCAAAAGGCCGCGTTCTTGGACATGCGAGAGGCATGGGAGAATGAAGGAAGGTCGGTGGCCATTCAAGGGAACCCTTCCGGCAAGGAGGCTGAAAAACAAAAGTTCTTCGAACGGAGCTCACTGGACGTTGGCACAAAAAGATTCGTCGCTCGCCGACAAGGAGTATGTCGCAGCAGTTGGCAATGCATTGAGGCAGTGGATGCCGCTCGTGACGGTCGGTGACGACGTTTTCCGCAAAGCCATGGAATTCTATGCGAAATGGGCGGAGAGGAAGTTGTTGGGCAGCGACGGCAAGACGCCATTGTCGAGGCCGGGCAAATACATGCCAGACAAATCTTCGGGTCTGCAAGAAATTTCGAAAATGGGCTCGAAAGCGGCGGCTGGTGAAACGAAGATGGGGTGGCTGGTCCGGGTCCCGTCGCCTACAATAAAAGAAAAAACGCAACAGACGACAAGTTTTTCGTGGTCGTGAAGGAGCCAGACATGTTCTGTTGGCATTGTCTCGCCGACATGACCGATGCCGAGAAACTGTCGATCCTTGACGACATTCTCACGCTAAGGGGAGTGTTCGTGCAATCCGCGGGCGGCCATCTGAAGCGTCAGCACAAACCAGGAATTAAAGACATGGTCGCGACGAGGAAAGTGGACCTTGTGATGCTCCGTATGTTCCACTACATCTTGTTCCTTGAAACGAAGGAGGACGAACGTGTTTGGCGCCACGGGAGCCCTTTTTTTTGGACCGAGGGGAAGCTTCTGGAGGAGTATGGGCCGTAGGGCCTCACGAAACAGGTGTGGGTCGAAATGCGAAAGCATTTCCAGGGCGCGGTGGAGTACGTGAACACTTGCAAACGTACTCTTCCGCACGAGAAGGAGTCCCTCGACGACGCGAAGAAATTGTACGATGATGACAGGTTCCCTAAATCTTTCGAAAAGTCTGTCCATTCCATCTTCCGACGGACGAAAGAAGAAGTTCGAGACACGATCAGGGTCAGCGGGGATGTGAGGCACATCAAATGGCCCGACCTCAACCGGGTGACCAGCCTTATTCCTTTCGCTTTCCCGCCTTCCCAAGCTCATAGTCATGTCACTGCGATCCGTGAGGTTGTGAGACATTACGTGTGCAACCTATACGTCCTCGATTTGTGTGATCCCACACTCCTCACAGAGTGGCGAGAAGACGATTTCAGCAACTTGCAAGGTCTTCTACAAACACTTTCGCCAACGCACTGAGCACTTGTGATTTTTTTCCCCTCTCGTTGGGATCTCAGTTTCTTGAAAGGCATGGCCAGGCTTAGCGTCCATCACGTGAGGACAGGGAAGTCGGTACGTAATGCACAAAAGCAGGCCACTGTCCGGGAAGGCAATATGCTGGTTGAGGAGTGTGACCGCCTGTACGTGATTTTTAATGGCGAGAAGCTGGAAGACAACACATTCGCAGTCTACCCGGCCAGTAGCCCGACAAAGGCTTCCCGTGCTCATGGTCCAAGTCCGGCCAAACACACCGTGGCGGGCCTCTCGAAAGTTGTCTGTTCGTCGGACCCATCAGGACAGGTTGTGGCGTGTTTCGACGTGGCGGAAGAGGAAAGGTTCTCTCGTAGCATGTGGGAGGACGGCGGCGTGACAAGTTCTCAAGGACCTGCTTACGGGGAGATGGAGCGGAACCCGTCCCGTCTACTTGGTCTACTCGCAAACTTTTGCAAAGCTGGTCAAACTGTTTTTTTCTTTGGGAAGGCGCATGCATCTGTCGTGTGGGAACTCCTGCGCACTGGTCGGAACATCGTCGCGTTGGAGAAGGAGGCGAAGATGATCAATTACCTTCACGAGTTCGTGAAGGCACGCGTTGCAGACACTCGCAATGCTTGCGAGCTTGGTCGCACCACCGGCGAACAAAACTGGGATCCCAAACGTGACATGTATTGGAAATTGTCGGGGAAGAAAATGACGGACGTTTGGGACTTCCTTTTCGGACCCGGACCGCCTGGTCTGACCGACCTCGAATACAGTCAATGGAGAAACCTGGTGTTCGCTGTGCTCAATGGGTGCCACGGTGCGCACCCAGGGAGTCTGTCTCACACTTCCTCAGAAGGCTGGAGCACGTTTACTTCACGCTGGCCGAACCGCTCACTCTTGAAAACTACAAGTCACAGTTTGACGAGGAGGACCCTTTCGACGCTCACGACATGGAGGAGCTGAGCGACTCCGAAACCTTCGATTTCGAGTCCATGCCACTTCCTAGGGTGGTTAGACAGGTTGGTGATGAAGAGGAAGGTGTCCCTCAGAGATATAGCACGTCCCCTGCCGGTTTGAAGCGTGTGTTTCGGGGCGAACCAGTCGACAACCAATCGTCTGATGACGGGGAGGAAGAGAGAGACTATGATCACGAACCTTGTGACAGGCTCCCTGTGGACCATGACACCTGGCAGAATGACAGACTCTACTTCTTCGGCAAGCATCGCCGGTTCACGTCGGGGGATGTCTGGGGACACAACGTCATCTGGCACTCGAGGATATTCCAACCTGCTGTGAGGAATGGAATATGGGTCATGGCAATAAAGGAGGTCGATGGCAAGTGGAGTGGACTGAAGAGACTGGGAGCGGGTGCATTTAAGAGAAAGGCAAGAACTGCTCTGGTGGAGCATTTGAGTCTCATGAACCCCGAGAGGAACGATCAGGACGTCGATGCGTATGCAGAACAAAAGCTACATGAGTTGTACGCCAACACTATGTTGGAGTTTCGAGCGCCTTTCTACGCACTCGAAATGGCACCGTCTCGTGGCATTGACTGGCGCATGCCGCAACCTCCGCCGGCCGGTCAGCATCCGGGAGGGGGTGGTGGAGGAGACGAAGGAGACGGCGGAGGTGGCGGAGGAGACGGCTCACAGTTTGCCGGAAAGGGGACGGGCGAGACATCATCGGTTGAGAAGGCGTCCGGCGGAAGGGGGTCGGGCGGAAAGGGGTCGGGCGGGAAGGGGTCGGGCGGAAAGCGTAGAACGTCCGGAAGTCCCTAGTATTTGGAAACTGACCCCCACTGCGTAGGGAGTCGAGATTCCGACATGCGAAACGAGGCCACTCTGACGTTTGATCAAGTGCGAGTAGATTCGCACTTGTCTGCGAAGAGTTTGTTTCCCGTTGCCCAGGAGAGTTCATCCCCCCGTGTGCAGCAGAGGTCTCCTGTGCTCAACACCTTGCTCCTGAAAGAGGGCGCGTCTTCGTTTTGCCTGGAGGGCGGGATGCCTGCATTGCGAAGGAGCGAAGGTGCGACCTCCGGTTCCCTCGGCTCGGGCGACCGCCACAAACTGCAAATACATTCGGATTTGTTGCCGTCGCCCTACACCATAAGTGCTCCTCACGCAACAGTTCCGCAGGGCCAAGAAAATGTGACGTCCTGGCCCCCGCATCTTCAGTTGGACACAGGGTTACCCTGCTCGCCTCCTTTCTCATGTGTTGAGACTCGAGACTGGTGGTTTCGCGACGTGCTAGAGGGGCCCGCTCCAGGAGTGTTGGAGACCGAGGGTAGCGGGAACGAACGTCACACTCCTGGGGAAGACGAGCACTCTCCGGGAATGCGTGCTGTACATCGGGAAGAGGAGACTGAACGCTGGCAGTCTCGCAAAGTGTTGGAGACCGGGGGTAGCGAGTGTAAACGTCATGCTTCGGAGGGTGCGTCCGTGGACACTTACAGCGAGAGTGCAGGAGCTCCGGGGGAAACGCATGTTGTACAGTGGGGAGAGGAGACTCGACATGGGCCGGCTCGTAAAGACGTGAAGTGGCTCCACGCACAAGCGATGGTGATCGGGACGTCCGAAGAGGTTCTGCACACTCGCTCGGCTGTGGCCACGACGTGAGAGGGTGTCGTTAAGGGAGGTAAGTGGACGTCCGTGCAAGATCCCGTTCTGGGCGACGATGAAGACGAAGAAGAACCCGCGAAGGAAGCTCGGGTTCATGGCGATGAGAAAGGTGGAGAAACCGTGGTGGAAGGCGGTAAGGTGACTGTCGACATCCGGACGGATCCACAGCGGAAAGATGGTGATTCTTCACCCACCCGTTGCGGTGAAGAACAGGGTGGTCGAGTGTCTGTCCTGAGCACCGCTCGGGGAATGGTGCTTCACAAAGCCATAGAGTTGGGTGACGACTCGGCAGCCACCGAGCTTGTTAGCGACTCAGGCGTGGCCGAGTTGCAGAACGTTGAATCCTCCGTGGAAGGTGGTGAGGTGGCCATCAGTATCAAGATGGATCCAGAGCGGAAAGATCATGATTCTCCGTCCACCCGTTGCGGTGCCGAACAGGGTGATCGAGCATCTGTCCTTAGTACCGGTCGGGAAATAGTGCTTCATGAACCCATCGACTTGCCAAGCGACTCAGCTGCCACCGAGCTGGTTAGCGACACATCCGTGGCCGAGGTCCACAACCTCGAATCGTCCGTGGACGTTGGCGCACTGGCGCGACAGGAGGGCGAGTTTCCTCAAAGGCCTCCCGAGCACGGTAAGATTTGTGAATAGGACCACTCGCATATCTGTCACTGGCCAGCTCGGTGTTTGTCCAAATTGATGTCATGGGCTAATGTACCTGTTACCACTAGTTAAAAAAAAGTTTGTGGATTGTGGGTTGTTTTCTATGTTCTACAGGTGTGAGGTTGTTAATGTCCCTACCCATGAAGCCTTTAAAAGCCGTGCGCGAGAAACGTCTTTCAAGGAGGTCATTGGCCGCTTCACCGAAGAAGTCGTCAAGTGTAGGGTTGTTTAAAAGGGTCCAGATGCCTCGCCTTTCCCAGAGAGCTGTCAGAGTTCTGAAGGCTTGTGGAATAGACAAGGAGGAAGGTCTGCGGAAACATTTGGTTGCGTCTATTGAGAGCGTTACTGCTTTGTCTGACGGGTCTGATGACGATGGCAAACGGGGTGTCTTGAAAGACCCGTGTCCTAAGTACATCGCGAAGGACACATTCAACAAGCGGGGATACAACTTTTCTGGGAAAAGGGCAGACAGTTCTTAGCCATTCCACCACGGGGTTTGTGTTCACTCCTCACACTTGTTCGTGGGTGTTTGTGCAGCAGGGGCTACATCATGTTTTCGCGTTCCGTTGCCTACTGAGGAGCGTAGCGCTACGGACTTGAGAATGTTGCGGAACGTCAGTGGAGATTACAGCAACGGCCACGAGGTGGTGTGCGCGGTTCGCAAAGGGGTCAGTTCAATTCCGTTGAGCAGAAAAAGTCTTCAAACTCTTGTTCAGGGGGAATGGCTTTCCGACGAGGTGGTGGAGTCGTACTTGGCCTTGCTTGCCAACGCTGCGTTGCCTGGGTGTCCCTCTCTTTACATTTTCAGTCTATTTTTTTATACCAAGCTCGTCCGTGATGGCTATCAGCATCATAGGGTTGCGAGATGGACAAAAGATGTGGATATTTTTTCGCACGAGATGGTCTTGATTCCTGTCCATAAACATGGAGTGCATTGGACCCTATTGTGTCTCCGAGAACAACGGCTGGAGTATTACGACTTCCTAGTACAAGACGATGGCGGTTTTTCTTCCGATGTGATTGCGAACTTCACGCAATACCTCCGTGACGAAGAAGTTTGACATTATGGTCCAAAAACGAAGGTGGATCTCCAAGAGCTCAAGGTGGTTGTTCGTGGTGTCCCTCAACAATCGGACGGGTCGAGCTGCGGTGTTTTCATGCTCGCCTTCGCTTCATTTCTTGCACGCGGCTGTCCGCCACCCAAAGCGGCATTCCAAACATCCGGCTGAGGATTGCGGTGGACATACTCCAAGGCGCTGAGTGATACCACTGTTGTAAAAATACGCGTAGTTTTTTTTTTGAAATGCCATAAGCAGAAGTGCGAATCTGTTCCCAATTGATCTAGCAGTCAGCCGGTTCGAGTTGTGCTGTTGTTCTCATGAGGTGCCGGATTGCAGTGGACGTTTTGGTCAAGTACAGGCTTAGGTGTCGATGTGAATATCCCAGCCTCGTGCTCTATCAATTTTTTAAGGGTTCTTCATTTCATGGAACCTGTCATCTTTACTCGTAGGACTTTCGACAGTGTCGTGCTTCCTTTGTTTGTTTTCAGGTTGTTCTTGTTGCTTACCGCGCAACATCAGCTAGAGGGTAGCAGTGAACGCTTACGTGAAAAGGAAACTTAGATGCCGATGTAAATATCCCAGCCACGTGGTGCAGTTCCTTTTAAGTAGACGTTTACATATTGGATGTGAATATGCCAACTTTGTGCTCCT